GACACCTGTTTTCTTCTCTGAATAGAAGAGTCATAGAGATGTTACCATCACAGCTACCATCCAGCTACCATCACAGGACCCGGTCCAGGCAGGTGGGTAGATTTCTAAAGCCCTGAGTCCTCTCAGGCCCTTTCACTTAGAAATGGATTCTCTACCCGCTCCATCTCTCTTTCATCGCTCCAAAGGGCAGCCACACACTTGCTCGTCTTTGATGCTCTCTCAAGGATAGAGAAACTCATTACTAAAAAGTTACCGTCTGGGAATTCTTGGTTGTTTGGATTCTTACCATGCCACCGTCTCTGGTCAGAGTCACTAGTTCACATCAGGGAGCTGCTGGTGAGTGGCCTTGCTTCCCTGGTACAGATTTGAACCCCAGGAAAAACAGAGGATTTTTACCAACTTGAGGAGCAGCTGGTCCCCGCTACTGTTCACCCAGCAGTAGTCAATCAAACGCCAGCGCTGAAGAGTGGAAGGAGTCCAGGGGGTGTTCAAAAGAAACTGGAAAACACTTGATTGATATGTATGTACATTTTTAATATCATCATCAGACTCCCCTGGATGGACTCACTAATTGTGTTTATTGGGGAAATTAAAATTCTCACGTCGAAAAAGATTTCTTTTCCCTATTGATTCCTATTGATTGGCAAATGTTGCTGGCTGAAGTCAGGCATTGGCCTACTGTTGAAAATTAGTTGAGCCTTGTTGACACATTAAAACTTTCTCTGTGTTCTTTTTGATTTGTCCCTTTAAGTGTTCCTGGAGTGCCTAAGTACTTGGTCTGGGAAAGCACTTTAAACAGAAAAGAAAGAGCAAAGGAATTTAGGAGAGAAATTGCGTGGTGTGTGTATGGGGAGGAGGAGGTGGCTTGGTATTGCCGGAGCATGGAGTTTGTAGTAGGGGTGGTGGGATGAGGTTGTAGAGCGAGGCAGAGGCCAGGGCATGGGGACCCTGAAGACTTGTGCAGGGTTTTAGACCTTATTTTATAGGTGATGGGAAACCATTGGTAGGTTTCAAATCAGGAGTGACATAGCTTGTGTGTGTGCGTGTGTGTGTGTGAGACTGCTTTGAAGAGCCACAGATCAGAAGGAGGGAGAGCTATTGGAGACTCTAATTTAAGTGAAAAATGTTGACAGCCTTAACAAAGGCAATGGTGGTGGGAAGGCAGTGGGTATGAGAAATTTCTACATAGGAAGCAAAGTGAGCAGGACCAGGTAATTGGTTCTGCAAAGTAAAGAGGTTAGCATCAAGCATATGTCCCAGGTTTCCAGGACAAGTGAATGGGTAGGTTGTGGTGTCTCCAGCTAAAGTACAGGTTTTGGAATGCAGGCTAAGGAGATGGCCTAAAGGAGAATGGAGACTTCCCCTTCTGATATTTTGAGCTTGCCATGCCTATGGTCACCTAGGTGGCCAAGGACAGTGGGCGGTGGAATATGAAACCGTAAGCCCCCAGAGTGGGAGTAGGGAAGTGGTGTCCTGGTGCCAGAATGCCAGGATTCAAATCCCAGTGTAATCTACTGGTGTGGCCACTTTTCAAGAGGTGGTGCAGCAGTAACGAATGACCCCCAAATCCTAGGGGCTCACAGTGACGAACTTTTATATCCTCATTGACATATATGAAGGTTTTGGTTTGGCATTGGCTTTGCTCTACATCTTTCTCATTCTGGAACCCAGGCTAACAGTACTACCTCTTAGAACATTGCCTGACACGGAGTAAACACTATATACATGTAGGTGGATGGAAGGGAGGGGGCAGGAAGAGTTATTTTTAATGGGTACAGAGTTTCAGTTTGGGAAGAAGCAGCAGCTCTGCAGAGGATGGTGTCCGTGGTTGCCCAACCACATGGAAGTAATCAGTGCTGCAGAACTGTCCACTTAAAACGGTTAAAATTTTATGTTATGTATATTTTACTACAATAAAAAAATATAGGTAGGTGGGTTCATCTGAGGAGAGCTTGAAGCAGAGGAAGGCGGCGGCAGAAAGAGGACACCTTGGAAACCAGCAGTGGGGACAACAGTATTGAGAAAGCCGTCTGCTTGGGGGAGGGCGGGGGGCGGACAGAGAAAGAAGATTCTGGACAGACAAAGAAAACCAAGAGAGTTTGATGTCCTCTGAAGCCACTGGAGTCAAATGAAGAGGGAGTGTTGGAGTGCCTGAAGGGGTCTGTTTTGCTTGACTTTGAACCTGAACCTTCCTTTTGGCACCTTGATTCTAGTGGGTCTTCTGTCCTCTGCTAGTTCCTGATAATGTAATTTCTGGTCACTGCCCACACCTGGCCCAGACTGCCTCAAAGCCAAACCCTGGCCAGGTCTCCTATCCTGGCTCCCTCCCTCCCTCCTTTAGCCAGTCCTATTTTGTTCATTGTTGACATCTCCGTGAGACAATTTTTTTTTTTTTTAAATTAAAAAGACATAGAATTGGGGGCATTTTTTCTTGTGTCATTTTTATTACTATTAGTGTATGTTGTTTTACCCTGAAAAACAAAACTTTCAGGCTTTGAATTTAAAAATTAGGGATGGTTAGTTTATGGTCAAGATTCCTTTAATAACAAAAGAGTTCATCTTTTGTTTATAGAACTTTGACTGTTTGGTAAACCATAGGTTTGGGAAACTGAAAGCTAAAATTTTACAATGAGAAATGAAGACAATGCCATTGCATGGGAGAAAAGATTTTTTGGCAATGATTACACTTGCACCCCTACCTTTCGAAGAACCTAAGGGGGGATACCTTGTTCTAGATGATTTCTTCCCCTTTTTTGTTGCTTCTAGACATTGGCCAATCACCATACCAACATAACAGAATTGCACACAGAACAGTGGTTCTTAGCTCTGCAAGGAAAAAGGCCTGGGAACTTAGCTTTTTTTATTGATTTTATTTCTCCAAGAGTATTCTTACTAAGTGAATTGACCTTGCACAGTTAACTTGATGTAATCTTAAGAAAATAAATGAAGTATGCTTTAGAAAAAAATCACACATGCTCTAACCAGCCATCTCATTTGGCAATCATTTTCCACAACATTCATCCTTTTGGGATGGGGAGGTGGGGTTCTTTTTACAAGTGAATGATTAAATCTACCTACAAAAGATCCAAACTTTTGCTGACCTCCCTCTGCGACAGCAGCTGGTTTTGGGAGACTGAGCACTGGGGCAGGCCGGGGGTCTCTCTTCAAGGCTTCAGTTGCCCCAGGCTGTTTGGCCATCAGTCCTGGAGTGTCACCCCGAGAGGACATGCACACTTCACACACACATAAACTTAGGAGCTCCTTCCATAATAACAGCATTTGTGGAACACATCAGATGGGTTCAAGTGCTTCCTATCTTGTGGAGAAAGGATTGGTCTTTTATCCCCATTTGCAGTCAGAGTCTTTTGAAAACACAAGACACTGCAGCTAGAGAACCTTCTTCTCCAGAGTTCCACATTTCTAGGCCCTCACCCAGCAGCCCTAGTATAATTTCTCCACCCTCAGAACATAGGGGACACTTTCCAGCCCTCAATTCAATAATGTGAGCATCTGGATAGTTTTTCAATTTAGAAATTGTGGGTTTAAAAGGAATAGCTGCTCTGTTGCTCTGGGGCACTGCTCGACAGTCCCAGCTGTATTCCTGAATTGATTTTGAAAAAGCAGGTGGTGTCCTGGGTCCATTTCAACCCCACCTCCACAGTCGAGCCTGTGTGAACGGGCCTGTATGGGACCGCAGAGACCTACACCGGGCTGTTTTGCCGACCGTCTTCTTCCAGCCAGCGCTCGTAAACTTGCCCACCTAACAGCCAACAAATTGGGAGACAAGGATGGTTTCTGATTTGCAGCAGCTGAGTTTCTGTCCTCAACCCTTCTCGCACTGGGTTTTCCTGGGGTCTGGGGACAACTCAGGGTTTCCAAAGCCTCAAATATAGAGCCCAGAAAGGAATGGTGTTCTGGGGCGGGGGGTGGTGGGGTGGGGTGGTGGTGGTGGTGGTGGTGTGTGTGTGTGTGTGTGCGTGTGTGTGTGTGTGTGTCTCAGTTATTTCCTTTCTTGTGAAGCATTAGCTTTCATGAGTCACCAGCTGGTCCCAGTGCTCCTCTCCCAGCAGGCCGGGTGGTGTCCAGGAGGGTGGTTGGAGGAGGTGTGGGCAGTAGCCAAGAGACCCTGAGGAACAGTGTCCCTGGAGCTGCTCCTGGCTTCACTGGGGTCCAGTCTGGCTGCTATATGATTTCATGAGAATTGTGGGAAGCAAAGCCCTGGGGAAGGGGCCGCTAAGACAGAGCAATGCTGGACAGAACTTTCTGGAAAATTTCAAGGCTCCCAGGAACACCGGGCAGCTTCATATCCAAAAGTCACTACAAGATGTGGAGAGGCTGCCTGGGGTGAGTGGGAGAAGGTGAAGGTGGGATTGGGGTGGGGGTAGCTGGGTAAGGGGCTCAGTCTTCAGTCTTTTTTTCTCCATGGAGAATCTCACTCTGAACTTGGAGAGGCTGCAGAGTCCCCATCCTCAGGGTCTTGCTCATGAGGGGAGATGGGCTGACCTCCCTTCACACGCTTCCACTTCATTCTTCGGTTCTGGAACCACACTTTGACCTGACGGAGGAAGCAAAGGAGCCCAGTGAGTACAACCACTTCCCCAGCTGATGCTCAGGCTAGCTGGGGGCAGCTCCAGGGGCCCCGGCTCTGAATACTACTTGCCCCTCCTTGTTCCTCCAAAGGTCCAGGAATTGGGACCAAAGGGAAGACACACCAATCTTCCCAGAGGCCTGCCTTGTATCTTCAGATAAAGAAAGCCCTAGACAGACATGGGAACAGATTCTACAAGTCACTCTGCATTGGTCCCATCCCCCTTTACATGCCCCTGTTTTCCAGTACCAACGCTCCCTCCCTCTAGCTTCTATTCCCCAAGGTCTGGGAGCAAAAGATCACCAGACTCATCTTTATAAAGCACCTTTTATAATGCACCTTCCAGCTTAAATAGCTCTGGTCTGCACATTTTCTCACTTGAGCGTCAAGGTTACCTACAGGTTGGGGTTATGACCTGTTTTACAGGTGGAGATCCGGAGAGGGAGGGAGACATGTCTCAAGGGTCACAGGGCTAGGAAGTGGTAGAGGCAGGATTTGAATCTAAGTCTTTTGTTCTAAACCGAGCTCTCTGGCAGAGTGCTTTCTTTATCAACTGAAAACTGCTATCGAATATTATTATTACTATTATGACTATATTTTACTCCTCGTCAGAGCATGGGTGTGGGTGGAATGCTCTGAGGGAAAGCCCAAAACAAAGGGCTAGGAAGTTCTCAGAGTGTGCCCAGGAACCAGCTGCATACCCGAATCAGCTGGAGAACTTATTAGAGATGCGGAATCCAGGCCTACTCATTATTACTGCACAATCGCTCTCCGGAGTTCCAAAATTGGCATTGTAAACAAGGTGATTCCAGTGCACACTCAAGTTGGGAAATAAACAGATGAGAGGTTCCAACTCTGGCTCTGCGTCAGAATCACCGGTGGACCTTTGAAAAACTCTGATGCCTGAACTACAACCCAGACCCATGAAAACAATCTTATCAGTGTAATTAAAATCTCCCCAGGTGATTCTCAGGTAAAGGCACAGTTGAGAACCACTGCACTGGGCAAAGGGAGAAGAAAAAGAAGAAGGTTGGGTGGGGGCAGGGAGTGGTGGGAAGGGAGGAGGGTGAGAGAGCCAAGGAAAGGAGGGATGCCCAGGAGAGGAGCCCCTC